TATACCCACATCCCAAATGGCACCCTCCCATAGTTTACCCCCCACACCCCCACTGGAGCCCCTATACTCTGTAATCTCTGTTACTGTCCACTGTGTTGTTGGTGCCCCCAGCCGTTCTCCAGTGCTTGTCCATCTGCTGAATCTAGTCAGCCTATCTAGAGTTCCTTGTTTTAGGAATATCAGCTCTTCTTCATCTAGCAACAATCAGTTGCCAATATGCCCTTAGATAAGATTGGGGTCTGCTGTTCATTTTCCTAGTTCTATGCAGGTTACTGTCTGGGAGTCTCTTGGGCCACCCCAGCCAACAACTCAAAGGAAGGTATCTCCTGTCTGGCATTATTTCTTGTTATGTAGCTTTTAGCTATACACATGGACTCTTAAAGAGTTATATTGGTCCCTTTAATCTATGGTTATACTTGCCTTTTGGGTGTTTAAGACCATACAGTTAGCCCAGATAAACCAATTTATTTTTACTCTTAAGGTCATTTGAGGATCTGTTCCTCAGGGGTCACATGGGCTTGGGAGGAGCCCCTGGCTCCTTTCTTTTACCAGTTCCACCTATGTGGAGATAAGTCAAAGGTTCTGCTCAACCATGGCTGGCTTCACTTGGAAACATGGAGGAAATGTTTCCTCTGTGTTGATCCTCCTCTTCGTAGACTGGACACTGGTTCAAGTCCATCTGGTGGGGGTCTCCATGGCCTCCTCGGTCAAGAGGACAGGTGACCTACCACAGTTACAGGACATTTTGAGAGATGCTCATAGTCCCCTGGAACTCAGTCCACCTAGGAGGGCAAGGAGCAAAAACTGTCTTTGTATGTCCCTCTGACCAGATTAGTATAGGCCTCAAAGTATGGCTGTTAGATATCTAAGAAGGTTAGTTCTACCAGTCTGGTACTTTTAATTACCATGTGCTATAGAGATAAAGCTTGGGCAAAGACCAAACATTCTCAGATAAACCTTGCCTAGACATGTATTATATTCCTTGAGCTAGTTGTATATGTAATTTGTCAGTAGGTTGTTTGAGGTATTAAAATTTTAAATAGACTATTGGAAGGTGAAACTGTGCAAGACTAGCTGAAGAAGTGGGTCACTGGGTGGATGCTTTTGAAGGGTGTATCCTAGCCCAGGCCCCTTCCTGTTAGTCCTCTTGGCTTACTGGCTGCCATGAAGTGAACCACTTTGCTCTGCCCAGCCCTTCCTCTGTAGTGTTTCCATCTTACCACAGGCCTAAGAACAACAGAGCCAGCTAGCCATGGGCTGATCCCTCTGAAACCATGAGTCAACATAAGCACTTCCTCTTCTAACTTATTTCAGGTATTTGTCATCTGACTGGTGCACTGGGGTTTCGTGAGAAAGGAAGAGGTCCTATCTTTCAGAGACTGAATTGCAATAGACTAAATAAGAGAAGGAAAATTTGCTCAAAATAAACTCTCCAGTGTCATTTTAATAGAATGTTTTAAGAAAATTGTCAAAGGTTAACAGAAGCCAGGGATGTATTATCCAGATGGGTAGCCCCTCTAAGTAGCCCACCTTCCGGGCCCCATGTAGCCAAAGCCTTCCCCAGCACTCACCTCGGCAGTGTAAATATAGATGGTGTTGAAGTTGGCTGCCACCAGGGCCCTCAGCATGAAGAGGAAGCCAATGAGGCCAGCACTAAAGAAACAGAGGAAGTTATACAAGGTGACGGAGGGCCTTCCCAGACAGCCACCCACAACTCAGAATCTCGGCAACCAGCTGCTTCTCAACTGGCCTAACTGTGACATCCTCAAGCCAACTCCCTCTCAATCCATCCACCTAAAGGGGTTGCTCAGGCCTGACCCTTCAGAGGAGCAGGTGCTCTGGAAAATGGTGCAGTTACAGAACACATGATGTTCAGTCATCCTCAAGACACTGTGCCAGGATACTACCATCCCACCACACCAAATGCCAAGTATGTCCAAGATCCAGCTATAAAAATGACAGGGTAAGGGCTGGAGAGGTGGCTCAGCAGTTAAGAGCACTGGCTACTCTTGAAGATGACCAGGGTTTGAATTCCAGCACCCACATGGTGGCTAACAACCATATGTAACTCCAGTTCCAAATGATCCAACGGCCTCTTTTGACCTCTGCAGGCATTGCATGACATGGGTGCACTTACATACATGCAAGCATGACACATTAAATAAACAAGTAAAAGTTTTTTAAAAAACAATGATGTGGGACTGGAGAGATGGCTCAGCAGTTAAGACACTGACTGCTCTTATAGAGGATCTGGGTTTGATTCCCAGCATCCACATGGCAGCTAACAACTGTCAGTAACTCCAGTTCCAGGGGATTCGATGCCTTCTGACCTTCACAGGCATTGCATGACACGGGTGCACTTACAATAAACAAAATTTTAAAAAAACAATGCTGTGGGGCTGGAAAGATGGCTCAGCAGTTAAGAGCACTGACTGCTCTTGCAGAGGACCTGGGTTTGATTCCCAGCACCCACATGGTGGCTACAAACAGTCCTTAACTCCAGTTCCAGGGGAATCTGAAGCTCTCTTCTGACCTCCATGGCATTGCACGACACGAGTGCACTCACATACATGCAGGAAATACACTCATACACATAAAATAAAAATAATAAATTTTTTTTAAAAAAACAACACTGCGGTCAATACAGTTGCAATTTTTTTCTTGTTTTTGTTTTTAGGATGCAATTTTTATTTACTTATTATTTTCTCTGTGTGTGTCTGTGTGTGTGTGTGTGTGCGCGCACATGTGCATGACCTGTGTGTGGGTGCATGTGCCACACAGTACAACACATGGAGATCAGAGGACAACTTTGTTTAGTCAGGTCTCCTCTACCTTCCTACCTTAAAAAAAAATTTTTTTTGAGATAGGGTCTCACTATGTAACCTGGCTGTTCTGGAACTTGCTATGTAGACCAGGCTGGCCTTGAGCTCACAGAGATCCACCTGCCTCTGCCTCCCAAGTCCTAGGATCAAAAGTGTGCAACACCATGCTCGGCTTTCTCCTTCCACCTTTACCTGGGTTCTGCAGATTGAACCCATGCCTCCAAGCTTGTGGGGCAAGTGCCTTTACCTGCTGAGCCATCTCACTGTCCTCATTTTTAGCTTTGGATTTTAATCTGTGATTGGTTGGCCTGTGGATATACCACCTATAGACCAGGAGTCAGCCACAGATTATTGCTCAGGCTAATACAGGACTGCAAATTTGGAGTGAAGTAAATTCCACACCAGATCTGTTATCACTGAACTAATTCAAGCCAGATAATTTGGTAAAGAGCTAGGGTTGTTCTTCAGCTCTTCAGGAAGTATTACAGAAAGATCCTAAAGACACTGATGGGTAAAGTGAGCACCCCAACACTGCATCATAACAGCTGAAGGGGACAGGGACAGGAGAGGGAAGGGTCTTTCAGTCAAACAAATGCCTGTTCTCTACTCTCCCTAGTGAGAGGGATGTGTCCCACATCCAACTGATCACCAGGGGTCAGAAGGCCCTGTTTGAAGGCCACTGCACACCACTAGTTTAGAAGCAAGCAAAGAGAAAATACCTCGAAGTACAAATGTTGAGGAGAAGGAAGAATAAAGCCGTGCATCCCATGGTGATTGACAGGCTCAGCCGTCTTCCCAGGAAATTGATGCCCAGGATATTTAAAGGGTTCACTAGAAAGTAACAGCAAAGACAAGAGATGGGAACTGAGTGGCATCCAGCAACACCGACAGGGATGTGTCCTGTCATTCAGAAGGCAGCAGCTTCCAGCCTACGCCCAGGCATCACGGTATGGAATCTGCAACTCCTTCAGTGTACTTCTTAAATGCAACTGTGAGTGACAAGCACTGGTGTACATCAAGGGCATTTGGGGAGGGGGGGTTAAAGACATGGTCTCCCTGTAGCCACAGCAGGCCCAGAACTTGCTATGTAGACCAAGCTGGCCTTGATCTCACAGAGATCTACCTGCCTCTGCATCCCAAGTGCTGGGATTAAAGCCATGTGTTACCTCACCCAGCTATTTGTTTTTTTAAGACAGGGTCTCTTGTAGCCCAGATTGTTCTCAAATTCCATATGTAGGCTGAAGATGACCTTGAACTTCTGTTCCTCCTGCCTCCACTTCCTGCCTTCTGGGATTACAGGCATGTACCACCATATCCAGTTTATACAGTGCCAGGGATCCAACCTAGGACTCTGTGCCTGTTAGGCAAGCACTCTAACAACTGGGCTACATCCCCAGCCACCACTGGCTCTTACATGACATTATTTTTTTCAAGGAAAAAATAAAACAGTGCTGCCAACTGAAGTACTAAAATCTAACAAGTCATTGTAAGACATTCCAATTTTAGAATTGCTAAAAATGTGTCTTGAAATTGATATAATGGAGTCCTTTGCTTTGCTCCACCAGGATCTCTTCCCCACAGTCTAAACTGGGCATATGTCAGCATGGCTTGAAGGCTCCTTCCACTAGCAGGAACCATGTCATTGCTCTCCTTTCACCCTGGGCTGCATGTACCCCACCTAAAACAGAGTCCTCAACACACAGGGGAACATTTACAAGCAATTTCCCCGAGGGTGCTGATGATTATGGTCCTGTAGTCGGAGGGCGCAAACAGGTGGCAGTAGCAGGAGCTCTGACTCCCCTCTGAGTCCCCCAGTGTCACCAACACCTCTGATTCAGACTCTGACTTCGAACCGCAGACCAGGTCCCGCTCCAGCAACTCAGCACTGGCCAGGATAACACCATAATAGGCGAAGGAGATTCCCAGCCTGGAGGTGAGAAGAAAGTATCATTATCAAAGCTTTTGCCAGGCTTAAAGGACAGGAAGAACCACAGGAGGCAGGGGTAAGAGGGGGGTGCTCCAAGGGGAAGACACAGGGCAGGAGCAACAGAAAACTCCAGCCTATGTATCATCCAGAGCATCTAAAAATGTCTTTGGGGAGGCATATGTACACATTTCTGGAGTATAAAGTTTGGAATTGGATTACTGACCCCTAGGATATACGCATTTTCCACTTGATACCTCCAGTTTTCCAAAGTGGCTGGGCATGAATGTTTCAGTTATTTCACATCCTTATAACACTTGGTACAGACAGTCTTTAAAATGCAGCCGTTCTTAATTTGAGCATTGGCAGGCTTATAATGAAACTTTGTTCGTTTAAGATAGCCTTTTTGATTGGATATTTATATATCCTATTTATTTTTACTTTATGTTTATGAATATGTGTATTGCCTGCATGTATGTAAGTACACCCATGTCGTACAGTGCCTGTGGGGCCAGAAGAGGTGTCAGATTTCCCGGAACTGGAGTTAGGAACTGTTGTTAGTTAACCAGTGTTAGTGGGTGCTGGGAACCAAACCCACGTCTTCTGGAAGTGCAGCCAGTGCTCTTAACTGCTGAGCCGTCTCTCCAGCCCCCTTTGTTGGGTTTTAATTTACATTTTCTTGGTGACTTTAAGCATGTTTTGACACATTCATCGAATTCACAATTTGCATGACATGCTTATTCAGTCTCTTGCCTATTTCTAAACCTAATTGTCTAACTTTTGTTTAATAAAAAACAATTACATATATGACATATGTATTTCATCTGTATAATACATACTGTTATACAGATAGCTGTCTCCAAAAATGTGTGTATATATGTGTGTGTATGTGTGTGTATGCATGTATGTATATTCACACACACACATATTGCAAATTTCTTCTCTTACTTGATAGTTTACCCATTAGGCATCTCATGATATTATAAGGCAAAGAGTTGCTAATTTTGCTGTTTGTTTAAGACAGAGTTTCATGTAACCCAGGCTAGCTGCAAACTAATTATACAGTTGAGAATGACCTTGAACTGATCCTCCCACATCACTTTCCAAGTGCTGAAAGTACAGTTGTGTGTCTTTGCATCCAGTTGCAGAGTTGCTAATTTAATGTAGTAAAAAACCATTAGTAAAAACCACATGGTAAACACTTTAAGATTTATTTTATTTTATTTTTTTCCAATAAGGTCTCACTACATAGGCCCAGTTGGCATAGAACTCACTGTGTAGACCAGGTTGGCCTCAAACTCTGAGATCCACCTGCCTCTGCCTCCTGAGTGCTGGTATTAAAGGCATGCTCCACCAACCTCAGACAATTTATTTTTATCTTTGTGTGTATGTGTGTGTGTGCACATTAGTGCAGGTACCCACAGAGCCCAGAGGCATCACATTCCCCTTGGAGTTGGAGTTACAGGTGGTTGTGAGCTACCGATGTGGGTGCTGGAAACTAAACTTGGGTCCTCTGCAAGAGCAGCAACCCCGAAGTCTGTGTCCCTGAATCTGTCAGTGGTGAGTTCAGGTCATGGGGTGAGTAAAACACAGGCTATCAAAGGGCAAGAGGTGAGCATGCAGGCACAGAAGGAGAACTGAAGAGCAGGTGTACAAAGTTAACGTATTCTTTCTCTTTCTAAAACTTCATTACTTTGTTGTTGGGGCTGGTGGTGGTGGGGTGGTGGTAGTAGAAAGATAAGATGTTGCTAGAAAAACTCCGGAGTTTGGCTTGTGTTTTTCTCCCTAGTACCACTGAGAGTGGATTTACAGAGATCCTTTATCCACAAAGGATTCATTCCAAGACCCCTGTGGAAGCCACAGATCATACCAAACCCCACATGTATATTCCTATACAGATCAACAAAAGAAAACAAAAACTGTAATAAAAGTTATGTAAATGTAGTCTCTTCTGCTATAGGAGTCGGGACAAACGTTAATATTTTTGGACCCTGGTTGGCCATGGGAACCTGAACTCACAGGAAGCAAAGTCTCAGATGATACCAGGGAACTCAGACTACATTCTTGAGAGTGCCTCCTCCAAATATTTCATTATTCAACATTGGCCTTGAAGTAATTATGTTCTTACCATATGATCCAGATCTGTAAAGTGGTCCGCAAATATTTAGCATCCAGTAGGTCTGCAAATCTTCCTCTTTTTTCCTGGGGGAAGGAAAAGAGACATACATAGAGAGCTAATATTTCTCTGATATACTTTGAAATTTTTTTAAATTTATTCATTTTATGTGTATGAGTGTTTTGCCTACTTGTATATAAGTGCACCCCTATCATGCAATGCCTGCAGAGTCCAGATGATGGCATCTGATCCCCTAAAACTGATTTACAGAAGGTCGTTAACCACCATGTGGGTACTGGGAACCAAACCTATGTCCTCTGCAAGAGCAAGCAGTGTTAACTGCTGAGCCTTCTCTCTAACTCCTCTAATAGTCTCTTTAAAGATTTGTGTATTCTGTGTGTGTGTGTGTGTGTGTGTACACATGTGCACACCAGTTGTATGTAAGTGATTATGGAAGCAAGAGTATGGTGTCAGATTCCCAAGAACTGGAGTTACAGGTACTGTGAGCTGTCCAGCATGGGTGCCAGGAACTGAACTCTGGTCCTTTGCGAGAGCAACACTCTTAACTGCTGAGCCATCTCTCCAGCCCCCATTCTCTGATATTATTAGAAAATAAGAGCAATGTGAGAATGTGATGGAGTGAAGTAAATGCTATGCTGGCTTGAATACGAGATGGCCCCCTCAAAAGGCTTCTGTGTTAAAAACCTGGTCTGTGGCTGGTTGATTAGGCACTGAGAGCTAACTGTAACATGAGTGCTTTGCTTAATCAATGGATCAACACTGACATATTCAATTAGATGACTTTTGGTGGTGGGACCTATTTGAAGTAGGGTATGGGGGCGTGTGTTCTGGGCCCTGCTCTTTCTGTTTCTTAACTGCCATGAGGTGAGCAGCTCTGCTCCAACAAGCCCTTCTCCATGATGCTCTGCTTCATCACAGGCCCAGAAACTGGGGGGGGGGGGGGGGGGGGGGGCAGTCTCCCTGTAGCCCCAGCTAGCCTGGAACTCACTATGTAGACCAGGCTGGCCTTGAACTCACAGAGATCTGCCTGCCTCTGCCTCCTGAGTGCTGGGAGTAAAAGGGTGCACCACTACATTCAGTAAAACCTTCCTCTTTTTAAGTTGCTTATGCCAGGTATTTTGTCACAGTCATAGAGACCCACAATCATCTGTAACTCTGCTCCAGGAGAACTGACACCCTCTTCTGGCACCTGCATACACATGGCATACACATACACATATGTGACACACACACAGACACATAAAAGTTAAAAAATTAATCTTAAAAGCAGTGTTGTTGATATCACTCAGCAGATAAAGGTGCTTGCTGCCAAGCCTGACCACCTGAGTTTGGTATCTGGGACCCACATGGTAGAGGGAGAGAACTGACTCCTGCAACTTTTCCTCTGACCTCTATATGCAGACCGTGGCTCTTGCACACACACCCAAACACATATATGAATAAATGTAAAAAGAAAAAAAGAAGTACTTCAAACAATAAAACTATCCCACGAACAAGATAAGTCAGCTATATACTAGTATGTAATAGGATAGCGCCAAACTATAAGAAAACTGGCAGGCTTTATTGAAATATTTTATCAAAATAAGGCAAAGGCAACATAAGAAAATAAAATTGTATAAAACAATCTCTTGGGGCTGGAGAGATGGCTCAGTGGTCAAAGGCAGAGGACCTGAGTTTGGTTTCCAGCACCCACACGGTGGCCAACAATTAAAACTCCAGTTCCAGGGGATCTGGTGCCCTCTTCTGGCCCCTGTAGGCATTGCATGACACAGGTTTACATACACTCACACATTTTAAAAAACAACTCTGATATTATGAGGCATGATGCCTAATCAAGGAAGGAGACATTATTTGGATTTTATTAATGAAGTAGTTTAGCAAGATCACAGGGCAGCATGGCAGGGTGGAGCTAAACTGAGCCCTGCCTCCACTCGGTTCTAAGTTATCACCCTGCCTCTGGGGGCTTAGAGTAAAGAGCTCTGGGCCCCTGGTAGAGGATGAGCAGGGTCTGAACTCACCAGGATGGGCTCCACCAGCTGCCCCTCTGGCATGACCGAGCGGTTCATCTTGGCGATACCCTCCAGGGTAGCCAGTGCGACCTGAGTGTTCCCAGTAGAGACGTTGAACCGAGCAGATTCAGGGATAAACTGGGCACAGATTACACGGAACATCAGAGCTGCCGTTGCCATGGACCCACAGGCAGTGCTGTTGCCACATCCCTCGCTGTGCAGTCCTCAACCTCCAGCGTGGGAAATGGAAGGTAGCAAGCTTCAAGGCACACAGCTCATCGGGAATTTCAATGAATTCAAAGCTGACTCAGACATGTGCCTCTTAGGGAGGGACATCTAGGGAAGCTGAGATCCTGGACTAAAACCGAAGCGTGAACTTTCCATGTTTGTTTTTTATCTTTTGAAACAGTCTCACTACACATCCCTAGCTGGCCTGAACTCATTACATAGGTCAGGCTGACCTTGAACTCAGAGGTCTGCTTGTCTCTGCCTCCTGAATGCTGGGACTAAAGGTATGCACCACCATACCTGGAAACTTTAGATGTCTGAACTGAATACAGATTTTTACTAATACATCAATGATACGATGTCAGGTCTTAGATGTATATAACAAAGTCCTGGTTGTACTTGAGCTTAGGCCCAAGAACATTCAATGGTGGGGTGCACTTGGCTAATAAACCAATGAAGTCTTAGTCTACACTGACAGAAACAGGGTCTTTCACAGGAAGCAACAGGCCTGATAGCCACTGACCCAAAGTACCTGAGGGGTCTGGGTTTGATTCTTGTGGGGGGAGTGGGGGATAAAGGGCAGTACTGGGGATTAAACCTAGGCCCTTATGCATTCCATGGAAACTATTATACCACTGAGTCATAGCCCCCACCTCGAGGGTGATTCTGAGCAACAGTTCATTGAAGCACTATCTGGGTTAGTTCAGAAAGAGAAGGGCGTTTGGCTCTGGGACCAGCCATGAGAATTATGTGAAGGTCATGATTTTGCCCAGTGTGGAAGAGGGAAGACTTGGGAGGTGATCTACTCTTAAATTACTTTAAAAGATACCTAGTGAGAAGACAGAACTCTAGTTTTCCAAAGGGAAGTATTAGAAATCACAGGGAAATTTGATATGGCCTTTCATATGGCAGAGACCTTCCTAAGACTTCGGCTGCCTGAAGATAAATGGTTAGGCTGCAGAGATCTACAACACATTCACGGGCTTTCTAAAGCTGGAAGTGTTCTGGTAGAGGCTTGAGTTGGAGTGCCTGAATTGGGTTGAGGAATTTGGAATACATGACTACTCAGGAGCTTTTTCTCCTTCCCTTCCCCCACTCCTTCCTCCGTCCTTCCCTTGCTCCCCCTCCCCACACCCCTTCCTCCTTCCTGGCTTCTTTACAGAGTCACATGTATCCTAGACCAGCCTCAAACTCCCTCCGTAGCCAAAGGTGATCTTGAACTTTTATCTTCCTGCCTCTATCTCCTGAGTTCTGGGTTTATAGGCATGTGTCACCACACTCAGTTTATGTGGTGCTAGTGATCAAATCCAGGGCTTCATGTACGCTAGCAAGCACTCAACCAACTGCGGCTACATTCCCTGCCCTCAGAACCCCTCTGTTCTGAAACCCTTTGATCCCACTGGGGCAGGACACACAAATGAAACAGCACCCAATCCTGCTCAGGGCCAGTCCTGTGTTTGAACAAGAGTAGAATCTGACTAAAATCTAAGGACAATGAACAGCTTGCAGTTGAGTTAGAGAGGTAGGCAAGCAGGCAGCCGGTCTTTACCTGCCAGGGCCCGGGGGCAGGTAAAGGGTGAGTGCTTAGGGGCGTGGGGGGGCGGGCGGTGGGGGGCAGGGGCAGTGCTCAGAGCCAGCAGGTAAAACTTAATAAACCAGGAATAGATATCATTACAGATGAGGGAAGAAAGCTGGCTACATTAGAGTCTCAGATTTTTTAAAAAGTGAATAAAAATATAATAAAAAGAAGTGATAAAAATTGTGGAGCAGAGGCCAGTGGCCCAGAAGGAGGGGAGCACAGAGGCAGCTTCAAGAGCACATCACCTTGAAGGCCATGATGAGAATGATGCCCGGGATGGAGGCAATGCGGATGAGCCAACGCCACCCGATGGTAGGGATGATCACAGAGGCCAGGCCGATGATGAGCAGGGAGCCACCAAGCCAGAAAACCTGGGAAAGAGACCCAAAGCATGACAATGCCTTCTGTCCAGTCCCCTTGACATCTCCCCTTTCTGGAGACTTCTAACTCATCATTTTGCATTGTATTGGGTCGAGGCGGGAGTTCTGAGGGCAGCAATCCAGGTCCTACTCCTAGGATGGCTCTTCTGACCTGGATGGGCTGAGAACCCAGTCTACTCCTCCATGACCCAGTTTATTTTATGTAATTTTTTTCTCTGCCTTAGTTATAGAGAATATCAGCAATATCAATAAAGTTTAAAAATCTATATGAATAAAAATAAATCTAAAAAAAAATTTTAAGGGACTGGAGAGATGACTCAACAGTTAAAAGCATGCACTGTTCTTGCAGAGGACCCAAATTCAGTTCCAGCACCCACACTAGGTAGCTCACAACCACCCATAATCCCAATTTAGGGGATCTGATGCCCTCTTCTGGCCTCTGCAGGCACCTGCACATACACATAAATAAAAATGAAATCTAAAAAAAAAAAAATTTCTAGTAGTATATGGAGTCTTCAGCATTGATTTGTTTTCTTGCACAGACAATACAATCACTGGGTCATAGGAGAGACACAGGAAGGTTGGAGAAAATACTCTGTTCTCCCAGTTCTTATTCCGTTTCTTCTCTCAGAAGGAACTAACGTAGTTTACTCTGCCCTCAAAGTTCCTCTAGACTCACACGAGCTAATAAGGATTTTTTTCAAAAACAGTCCCTAGCATATGTAATACTTATGTTTACAGATTTGATATCAACAAGTCTCATGAGCCCTATTGTTTGGGAACTATTAATGGAACCCTCCCTCATTGGCCTGAGTATTCCTACCCATCTGAAGATGGGGGAAAATGCTCACTCCTTTGGGGAACCAATTAAGGGATAACTATTTTATTAAAGAATTATTTTCCAAAAAATGTTTATTTCAGAAAGGGATAGGGCTATAAAAAGGAATAATGTGTGGAGAATGACTTGGGTGATAAGGGCCAACTTTTCTGAAGAGGCAGCTGATCTGGCTGGTATCAAGGAGCAAGTGATAGGTGATGTGGCATAGGGCTGGATTTCAGTAGTAACATGGCAAAAGATTTTTTAAATTTGAGGGTTTTACTGCTTGTATATAAATGTATCTGTGTCATGCAATGCCTGTGGAGGCTAGAAGAGGGCACTAGATTCCCTGGAACTATGGATGGTTGTTGGCTGCCATGTGCGTGCAGGGAACCCAACCTGGAGCCTCTGCAAGAGCAGCCATTGCTCTTAACTGCCTAGCCATCTCTCCAGCCCCCAAAAGACTTTTTAAAACTGAAGCATTTAGCACACATTCTTTGAAGCAAAGCTGACAAGGTTTGTTGATGGATACTTGGACTGAAGGTCCATGAATAGGGGATGAGCCAGTAGAGTTTGATAACTGAGTGGGATGAGGGGAGGGAAGAGGTCCATCATGGCTCCTGGGTTCAGGCTTGGATGATCTAAGGGAGGTGGCTTGCTATTATTTAAGGATAGAAACATGGAAATACAAGGTCTCCGGAAGGTAGAGAGGAGAATTCTGAGGTGGTCATATTTGAGGACCCTCTAAGACATTCCTGTGACTCTCAGGTAACTGGCCACCTGGGCCTCAAGTTCAGGAAGGTACTACTAGTTATTGATACATATTTTGGAGATAGCAAGAAAACACAGGTAGAGCCACCCATCTATATCTGTAGGCACCATATCCATGGCTTTAGCCAATAGTGTGTGGAAAGTACTTGAAAACAAAATGCATCTGCACTGGAAACAGAGAACCTCCCACTTCATTATTCCCTAATAGCAGCAGAACAATTGTATACTTAACAAAACATTTATTAGACATGCCATCTGTAGATGACTTAAAGTATACAGGAGGGGGAGGGGCTAAATGCAAATATTACACCATTTTCTATAAAGGACTTGAGCCGCCACAGATTTTGATATCTTCTGGGATACTGGAATTGGTCTTGAAGGATACTAAGAAACAACTATATATTGATAGCTGATATCATTAGAGTTGGTTATATGACCCAAGGAGTCTGGGGTAATAAGACTATCAAGGAAGATCATGTGAGGAAGCCTGCCACAACCCTGGGCAGATGGATGAGCAGAGCCTCATCATTCAGTGGGGTGAGGTGTAAAGTCCAAGCACTGTGGATTAAGATGCATTCCTAGTGACAAAAATCTCAGGAGACCTGGGAAGACTGTGGAGTCACTATCTGGCATTTCAGTCAAAAAAAATTAAGGTAAAAGCAATCTACTGTTTTATTTACTACCAACTATATAATGCTTTAGTGGAGAGGGTCATGTCTTTGCTGAACATTCCCAGTAATTGGGACTTTAGGATACTGAGGGCACTAAAACTGGTCCATGGGAGCTACAGTGATTTAGAAGACCTCTAGTCAACAGCCAGCCAGGGTCTGAGGAGGATCCCCTGGGAGAACAGCAGCTGCCAAGAGGCAATCATGGCGCCTTCCTCCAAGTAGGGCCAGTGACTGGCTTTCAGATACCAGCATCCTTAGGAAAGAAATGGGACATGCTAAAGGGTAGTAGCCTTCTTCCATCTCTAAAGTCTTGATAAAGTGAGAAGGGCCATCTGACATGTTTTCCTGAGTGTCATTCTAGTGAATCCAGCCATTGTAATATAGCTGGGTATTGAGGAAGATAGTACTGTGTGCCGAACATGACTGTTGGATGATAGAAGTCCCTGGCTCAGAAAAACCTTGGAATCGGACCTCTGGCTTCCAACATTCTCCATGTTTTTCAGATGGTGCCCAATAATAGGCAGTATGCTAAAGTCAATCAGCTGGCCAACACCTGGGTATCCTGTCCTATTGGATATACTAGGGTTGGTGGAATTCCCATTTTTCCTTACCTGGGACAAGGGCAACATGTAGCCTCGATATTTTGTGGGTAGAAATTCAGTTTTTATGATTAACCTGCCCAGGAAGGGAGGAAACACAAATCATTCTAAAAATAAAATCAAATGACTTTCCTTTAAACAATCATAATTTTTGCCTGGATAAAGAACTTAAAAGCATGAAAGTTCACTGTATATTAAAACATAATTGTTACAGGGACGATTCATATCAGAACAGTAAGAAAACTTACTTCTTGCTGTCATTTCACTCTAACAATTATTTTAAACTCTCTGTCATGGGGACATCAGCCTTATTTCTTTCACTGAGACGCTTTGAAAAACAACTTTGTCAACATGCCTGGGAAATTAAAATACACCCTAGAGAAGATAAATAATGTCCCCGGCTGATGACAGTGTGCTGATTTCTAATAAAGTGCATATTGATTTTGTAAATAGAATAGATGGAATAAGATTCCATCAGTTTGTTTTTCTCTGTTGACATTATTAGCCAAGGCCGTTTTTAATATTTTATTTTTATTTTATGTGTATGAGTGTATTGCCTGTGTGTGTAAGTGCACCTGTGTTGTACTGTGCCCTCGGAGGTCAGAAGAGGGCATTGGATCCCCTGGAACTGGAGTTATGGGTGGTTGTTAGCCACTATATGGATGCTGGGAATCAAACCCCTGTCCTCTGCAAGAGATCTTTTCTTTTTTTCTTTTTCTTTTTTTTTTTTTTTTGGTCTTTTTGAGACAGGGTTTCCCTGTAGTCCCAGCTGGCCTATAACTTACTATGCAGACCAAGTTGGCCTTGAACTCACAGAGATCCAATTGCTTCCTCCTCCACCTGAGTTCTGGGATTAAAGGCATATACCACCACGCCTGGCCCCCAGGTAGCCAGTGATCATAACCTCTGAGCCATCTCTCCAGTCCAAAGCTTTTTTTTTTTTTTTTTTTTAATTTCCTAACTTATTTATTGGGCTGTTTCCTGAGAAAGGTTTAATTCTCTCAGCTTCTACCCCCTTAGGGCTCCAGAGCTCAGAGAAAGGCTTAACTAATGCCTTAGGGAAGAGTAATTTTGTCTCTAACACATTAAGGCAATGCCAAACGCTTTATAACAGTTTAAGGAGAACTTGCCCCAAGGCACCCAGGAGGGAGCAGCCTGAGAGGCTCTGTGATTTTCAAGGTGGCCCCATTACCAGAACATTTAGCATAGCAACTTTCACACCCATACACTGATAACCTGTTCACTTACCCAAGGGCTGGAGACAGATGCTTTAAGCTTCAGTATTTCTCACTCTGCAAATTCTTTCTGGGCAATGGCACTTTAGAACGAATGGTTATTACTGAGTGTTACAGGTAACTTATGGCCAAACTAGACTCTTCCAACCTTGTCCATGCTTGGCAAATCCTCTACCACTGAGTTATATATATCTTCAGTCCTGGGTTAACTTGTCTTTCACCTCCTAATACGTTCTCTCGTCTGTGTGTGTGTGTGTGTGTGTGTGTGTGTGTGTGTGTGTGTGTGCGTGTGTGTATGCGTGTGTGCATGTGGAGATTAGAGAACAACTTCAGGAGTCATTCCTCAGGCACCATTCACCTTTTTTATTTTTTATTTTGAGACAGGGTCTCCCTGTAGCCTCAGCTAGCCTAGAACTTGCTATGTAGACCAGGCTGGCCTCAGTCTCACAAAAATCTGCCTACCTCTGCCTCCTGAATGCTGGGATTAAAGGTGTACACTACCTTGCCTGGCCATCCACCTTCCTTTTAAGACAGCATCACTCCCTGGCCTAGAGTTAAATAGGTAAAATAGGCTGGCTGAACCCAGGAATCCCCTTCTCTCTGCCTCCCCACCCCAAAATAACAAGGGTATACCACCATGCCTGGGTTGTTTTTTGTTTTTGTTTTTTTTTGGGGGGGAGGGGGGATAGGGTCTCATTATGTAGCCCTGACTGGCCTGAACTCTGGGATTAGAGATAGAGCAGCTGGCATTAAAGGTATGCATCACCACACTTGGCCTCTTTTAAAAAAAAAAACAAAACATAGTTTTAAACATGTTTTCTGGGGACTAAACTTGGGTCCTTGTCTAATAAGGCAAGCACTTTACCACTGAGCCATCTCCCCAACTTTGTCCTTTTTTTTTTTGTTCTTTTTTGAGACAGGGTCTTCTTGCAGCCCCAGCTGTCCTGGAACTCACTATGTAGACCAGGCTGGCCTCTGCCTCCCAAGTGCTGGGATTAAAGGTGTGCTCCACTACACCCAGCTTTTTTTTTTTTTTAATGTGTATGTGTGTGTTGCCTGCATGTAAGTAAGTGCACCTGTGTCATGCAATGCCCAAGGAGGTCAAAGGATCCCCTAGGACTGAAGTTACAGACAGTTGTTAGCTGCCATGTGGGTGCTAGGATTCAAACCCAGGTCTTCTGCAAGAACAACCAGTGTTCTTAACCGCTGAGCCATCTCTCCAGCCCTAACTTTGTCCTTTTTATTAGTAGTCTAGCAAGTGTTTCCTGGTCTGAAAAAATATTGACTAGTCTTTGGATCAAAAAAACTAACATACCTACCCTGCTAACATCTCCATCAAGTTGGTCATGATGAGCAGACTGCTCTGAAAGGAACAAGCACCCATTGCATCAAACAAAGAGAGAAACAGCTACAAAATCCTTGGCACGAGTAAAGCTGTTGATGTTGCCAGCTTATGAAACACTGTGTGCGTATGTGTGTATGTGTGTGTGAGTGTGTGTGTGTGTGCAAACTTATGGACACTCACATTTCTCTCGCAGAGATCCTCTGGGGAAGTCTTACCCTTGAGAGTGGCCAGACACGCCACACCCCACCATGGTCCGTAGAAAGACAAACCAGACGTAGGAAGGAGAGAAAGAAGTCAGTAAGGAGAAGTAGGCTCCCCATAGGAACGAGATCAGCAAAATCTGAAGCAAAGAAAGGGAACTCAGTCAGACCTGCAAGAGAGTTGGGGAACAAGTCTAGAACACTGTCAAGCCTGAGATTCTCAAGAAGCTAAGCCACAGCACTCACTGGTCTCTCACAAGCTTCAATGCAAACCAGGTCATTCTCAGGTCTGAAAGTCCAGTTCACCATTTATAAAGTCTCCTAATGTGTCCATGCTCACAGGGAACAGGAATCTCCATTTGCATCCCCTCACAGGGCTGTGAAAAGCACAGGGAGGAAGGATTCTAAGGAGCAAAGTTAAAGTGTGTGCCTTTTCTGTAAATTTACATGAAAAAGCCACAATGTGTTAAAGATTCTACAAGGCTGGTTGTCTGATGAGAACTGTGACTTTGAAGAATTGGAATGTTGCAGATCCAGAGCTAAATTATCCTGGGCTTTTTTCAGCCTCCTTAATAAACATTTATCACCCACTTCTTTGTCTGATCTAACATCCTGTGATGAGCAGGTAAAACCTTTGGATTGTACAAACAGATGATTAGCTTCCACCAAGCCAAAAGCTAAGAATAGCATTAGATCGCACCTGAAATCCATAGCCAAGTTTTACCTGCCCTGGTTGTCCACACCAACATATTTGATATTGCATATCAAGACCAAATTGGAACATGGAATTTGGGATGACCTGACTCTGTGTCCCCAGGCCACGGTCTCTTGTATTCAGCGCTAGGATAAACTATTCCTTATCTGAAGGGACTGTTAGTGTTCCCATGGCTTTAAAAATATGCTTGGTGAATTAAGCTGAACTTTGAGCATGCACGTCTAGAGAGCCTTGTGTTTTCATGAGAGAGTTTATACAAGAATGATTGCTGGGGAGATATCTCTAGAATGCCAGTTCCCCCGTCTGGTTTCTCATGGAACACATTGACCTAAATAGACATAACATGGAGATAATGTCACTGTGCTTACCTTATTTTGTTGAATTGTTATAGTCAAGCCATATTATTGTTTCTCAGTGTTCTGTAAACATCATGAGTATGAGAAGCCATTTTATTATTGCTCAGTTCTGTAGACATGTGACTGATTCTCATGAGTATGAGAATAAAAGCAGAGCTGTTGGGACTAATAGCACTTGTGTGGGCAAAGAAATCATACGAGTCCCCTGGCTAATTAATAGTTCCGTGGTAATCCATCCAGGTCCTGTGCCTGCCCCCTACCCTGTGTGGCCGCACTTGTCCCCTGAGGTGAGAGCTGCATTCCCACGTTGAGTAGGGCAAGTTCATGAAGGAGAAGCAGTGGGGAGAGGGCCACACAGGAGTTCACGGGAGAAAGGACCAAATCCTGCACAACTGACCTACCTTCCAACGGCCGTATCTGTCAGCCAGAAGACCAAAAATGATGCTGGACACCATGTAGCCAAAGAACACCATCTAGAGTCATGGTGAAGAAATATGATGCTCTTAACAGTTTTGTTTTTGGTTTGGTTGATTTTTTTGTTTTTGAGATAGGGTCTTCCTGTAGCCCCAGCTGTCCTGGAACTCACTATGTAGACCAGGCTGGCCTTGAACTCACAGAGATCCGCCTGCCTCTGCCTCCTGAGTGCTGGCATTAAAGGCGTGCACCACCATATCCCACTTACTCTTAACAGTTTTGGTAAGATCTGTATTGGCTACAGAAAATATTCACCAATCCTAACCAAATTTAGATTTCCCACAATATCTCAGGACTCCTGGGGCAGGAGGTGATGCTTCTTGTTGGTGGAGGCCACACTTTGTAGAAACAGACCATATGGAAATGGGTCCAAAAAGCAGGAAACTGCTCTCCTCCCAGACACTGGCCTCAACTGCACTCAGATTGAAGCTGAGTTTTCATTGTAATTAAAAAGAACTCTGTTCATGCTGCCCTGCCTTGCTCCATCACAAGTTGCTGCTACTAAAAGCAGTCTATGTTATTACAAACACAGGCTTCAACAAACACCAGAACCAATTACACTTCTAAAAACTCCTCAAGAGCTGGGGATGTAGCTCAGTGGGTAGGGTGCTTGCCTAACACACACACACAGCCTTGGGTTTGATCCCAGCACTGCATAAAATCAGGTATGAAGGTTCACGACTAAAATCCCAGCACTCTGGAGATGGAGGCAGGAGGATCAGAGGTTTGAGGTCATCCTCGGCTATATACAGTAAATTGGAGGTCAAAACAACTCTAAATTAAGGTGGACCCACCTGCTTTACTTTCCTTGTTCAGCACTTCACTCAGCCTGGGCTGTAAGTGACAAACTTCCAGAAGTTGCAAACTGCACTACTTTTCCTCTCAAGAAGTCCCTGGCTGATGCCGCCAGGAAATCAGAGTTGCAGACATCAGAGTTGTGGTATCAGCTCTGCTTCCAGCAGGTCTCAAAGAAAATGATGTTTCTCTCCAAGGTATGCTTTCTCTCCTGTTCCTCAGAGGGAGTCTCACAAGGAACTATTCTAAAGCCACCCCATGTGCATTCACCCCACTACACTTTGTGTGTGTGTGTGTGTGTGTGTGTGTGTGTGTGTGTGTGCGTCTATGAGTGCAAATGTATGTGGATACCCTTAGAGGTCAGAAGAGGGCATCAGTTCCCTTGGAGTTAAAGTTACAGGCAGTTGTGAGCTGTCTAATGTAGGTGCTGGGAACTGAAGTTGAGTCCTCTGCAACAACAACAAACGCCCTTAGCTGCTGAGCCATCTCTCTAGCTCCATCACTTTGTTTCTTTAACAAGCCACTTTCCCCACCCACCTCCTCCTGCTTTCAAGTCATATATATTCTATTACCTTACTTTTTAATCCTCTCCCCCTCCCTTAAGACCTCTTTTTCTCCTCTCCTGGTCCTCATCTTAGTTCATGATCTTTTAAAAAAATATTTTATTTTTATTTTACGTGTATCAGTGTATTGCCAGCATGCTCGTAAGTGCACCCTTGTCATACAGTGCCTGTGGAGGTCAGAAGAGAGTGTTGGATCCCCTGGAACTGGAGTTATGGATGGTTGTTAGCCACCATGTGGGTGCTTGGAATTGAACCAGGGTCTTCTGCAAGAGCAGCCAGTGCTCTTAACCACTGAGCCATCTCTCCAGCCCCCTTGGTTTATGATCTTTATCTCCCCTAAACACATATTTTAAAAATTAGAATCTAAGAGCCATCTATGAGAGAAAACATGGTATTTTTCTTTCTGAGCCTAGAATACTTAACATAATTTCTAGTCCTATACATTTTCACAAAAATGTCCTAATTCCCTTTTTCCTTATGGCTGAATAACATTGATTATGTAGTTATACTGCATTTCCTTTTAGTATTATTTTTTTGTGTATGAGTGTATTGCTTGCATTTAAGCGCACCAGTGTTGAGCAGTGCCTGTGAAGGTCAAAAGAGGGTTTTGAATCCCATGAACTGGAGTTACGGATGGTTGCTAGCTGCTGTGTGGGTGCTGGGAACAGAATCCTGGTCCTTTGCAATAATAGCCAGTGCTCTTAACCGCTGAGCCATCTCTCCAGTCCTACATTTCCTTTATGTATCCATTCATCTGTTAATGGCCGTCTGGGTGGGTTTCATCCAGATATTGTGCATAGTGTAGCAATCCACATAGATGTATCTCTGTGATAGTACATAAGAGGGTCCTTCAAGTGTGTACCCAGGAGTACATATAGCTGGATCATATAATAGCTTTGTCTTTAGTCGTTTGAGAAATCGCTACACTGATTTCTATAATGGTTGACCCAGTCCTATCAACACAATACACTCTCTCCACATCCTTGCCAGAATTTGTCATTTGTTTTTTGATAACCATTCTAGGTTAATTCTAGGCTGTCTAGAGTGAGATGAAATCTCAAAGTGGTTTTAATTTGCATTTCTTTGATGGCTAAGGATGCTGGATACTTTTCAAAAAATGTTTACTGGCCATTTTTTTTTTCTCTTTTGAGAACTGCCTATTCAGTTCATGAGCCCATTAACTGAGTGGAAATCTTGGGTGGGGGGCGGGGGGTGGTATTTAATTTTTGTATATTCTAGATATGAGCCTCCTGTCTGAGCTGGATTTTCTCCCTTTCTGTAGGCAGTCTCTTCGTTCTGCTGGCTGTTTCCTTTGCTGTACAGATTTTTAATTTCGTGTGATTCCATTTGTCAATTCCTGAGGTTATTTCCTGCACTATTGGAGTCCCTTTCAGAAAGTCCTTGCCTGTGCTTACGTTTTGAAATCTTCTGTTTTCCTCTAGCAATTTCATTGTTTCAAAGCTTTAAACTTTCAATCCATATTGAATTTTTATACAAGGTGAGATATGGATCTAATTTCATTCTTCTCCGTGTGGATATGTAGTTTTCCCAGCACCATTTGTTGAAGACCTGTCTTTTTTCCAACCTATGTTTAGTTGGGTGGCTATAGTTACGAGGGTTTATTTCTAGGTCCACTGCTGCACTCCCTTGGTCTGCATGTCTATTTGTGCCAACACCAATCTGTTTGTCATTATGGCTCTGTAAAATAGTTTGAGGTCAAGTATCATGACACCTGCATTGTTCTTTCTGCTCAGGATCACTTTGATCGTGAGTCTTTTGTGCTTCCACATTGCTCATAGAATTGCTTTCTCTAGTTCTCCAAAGAGTGCCATTGGAATTTGGGGGGATTACACTGACTCTGTAGGCTGCTTTCAGCAAAGAAGCCATTTCTACAATATTAATTCTGTCAGTCCACGAGCATGAAAAGTTTTTCCATCTTCTGGTATCTTCTTCAGTTTCTTTCTTCAATATCTTAATTTTTATCTCCATAGATTCTTGAATTATGAAGGCCATGCTTTTTGTCCTGTGCTCTCTGCTTTCTGGGGCAGAAACCTTGACTCAAAGTCCATGTTAACCCCAAAGCCTGTAAACTCTGAAATTCTGTAGTTCTGTTTGGGAGATTTCAAAGAGAAAAGACGGTGACTTCACCCCTTCCCCTCACTGTCATGGTCTGCTCTTTTCTTTAGATATTTAATATAAAACACAATTCAGCCAGGTATGATGATACACATCTCTGTAATGTAGCACTCAGGAGACTGAGTGGAAGGACTGCAAGTTGGAGACTAGCCTGAGTTGCACAGTGAGGCCCTGCTCAAAATAAGGAGGGAGGGGCTGGAGAGACGGCTCAGCGGTTAAGAGCACTGGCTGCTCTTGCAGAGGACCTGGGTTCCATTCCCAGCATCCACATGGAGGCTAACAACCATCCTTAACTACAGTTCTGGGGGATCTATCATCACTCTCTTCTGACTTCTGTCAGCACTGCAAGACACAGGTGCACTTATATACATTCAGGCACTCATACACATAAAAATAAAAATAAATAAAATGAAAAGGGGGAGGAGCTAGAGAGATGCTGCTCTTGGAGATGACCCAGGTTCAGTTCTGAGTACCTACATGGTGCCTAAAAATCATCAGTAACTCCAAGCTCCAGGGGATCCAAGCCCTCTTCTGGCCTCCACTGCATGATATATTTACTTATGTGCAGATAAAACACTCATAGACATAAAATACAAGTAAATAAGTAATTTTTTAAGTTTCTAATTTAAATACTACATAAACTTCTTTAGGGCTGACAAGGACAGATGTGCTGCTGTGATCAGGCATAAATCTGGCCTCCAAATTCCAAATTTTCCAGCCTCTAAGACACGGAAAGAAGCACAACTAGGCAAATCCCACACCCTAGTAAGAGAATGAAGAGTTCGCCAATGGTGACAAGGTGGGGGTGGGGTGGAGGGAGGTTAGTCCAACACAGATTAAACTTAACAGGCAAAAATCCAGTAAAGGCTGTGAGTGGAAAGTAGACCCTCTCTCCCCATCATCCTTCCAAGCAAGAGCTGCTCCTTTGTCCACATCCTTGTAAGCTGTGGAGGGAGGGTGTCAGAGACTGCTTCTAGAATTTCTATAGCCAATGTCAGTTCCCAACCCTTGCAGTCATACCAAATCTTGCCCTCAAAGCCTCTGTCATTTGACTGACACCATCATCACCTTCCTACCTTTCAGACACTCTGTCTCAGTAAGGGTCTGGCCACGTCCTATGATTTCTTTGTTAAATGTTTTCTTTATTAAAGGTCGCTTTAATAAATGATAAAGTCAACCCTCTCTCTTGGCCTTTGGCTTTTTGACCTCAGGAGCTGAAGTCATCCCCTCAGTAATTTCAAAACACAGTCTACCTCCAGACACTGGCATTTGCCACCACACCACTGCCTCTCTCATCTGCGTCTCTTCAGAGATCTTAGATAACACAATGATGGCCCTCATTAAAGCCCTTCAGTAGCTACCCACGTCTACAACAGTGTTTCCAATATGCTTTCTATGTCCTGAGCTTCTTTTCATATTAACAAAAAGATTTGGCATATAGAAAGTGTATTTTACCATCCATTTAACCAGAAACATAATTACTGTGAAGTCAAGTATGTGTTATTAAAATTGATTTGTTACATGGGATGAGAATTTGAAAACTGATGTACATACTGTATCAAGCATCTTTTGCATAGAGGAATTATTGCTTTGCCAAGATATTGAAAAGCATTGACAAAAATTCTGAGGGGCTGGAGAGATGGCTCAGTGGTTAAGAGCACTGGCTGCTCTTGCAGAGGACCCAGATTTGGTTCCCAGCACCCACATGGCAGCTAACAACCATCTATAAACTCCAGTTCTAGAGGATCCATTACCCTCTTCTGCCTCCCATGCACATTGTGTGCACAGGTGCTCTTACATCATGCAGGTAAAACACCCATACATGTAGAGACAGGTAGACCTCTGAGTTCAAGGCCAGCCTCAGCTACATAGTAAGATCCAAGCCAGCTGGGACTACAGGAAGACCCTGTCTAAAAAGACAGAAAAAAATAACAAAGAAAAAAAAAACAGAGAAGACTGGCTGGAGGCGGGGATGCCAGCAAGGCTACATGGCAGTGGTGGTTACCAGCAGTGCATGGAGGTAAGATGGTTCTGGAATTACTGAAGAAATAGCATCAGTCAATTATGCCTGTCCATTCAAGGTTATGCACTGGAGAGAAAGGCATTGAGCGCTTAAATCTGTTTATTCACATAGCAACAGGTACTCACTGTGGTCACGAACGCCACCTGCCAATTCTCCAGCTGCCACTCACAGCGGATGACAGGAGACACCACTGCTATCAGCATGATCTCCATGGCCTCCACAACCTTGAAGAGAAATGGGAGACAGCGCATGTCCATGTGCTAGCTAGCGTCACTCCTTGAAGGTGCCACCTGCCTAGTCCCAATGTCGTCTTTCCCCTTCCCCTAGATAGATAACAAGCCATGGTAGAGCCAGGCACAGTGGCACACACCTGCAGTCCCAGCCCTCTGGAGGCTGGGGAGCGAGGATGCTGAATTTGAAACAAGACTGTCAGAAGGAGAGAGGAGAATTGAAGAAATGATGAATTTGTTTGGGACGTGTCTTCATGACTCTGATAGGCCCATCATAGGATTTTTTATTATCGTAATTTGGAGGTCTAGTATAAAATGGTGGAACAGGGACAGCCAAGCTGTGGGGTTTTCTCATGTAATGTGTAGCTTGTCTCTCCTGGAGGATTACAGTCATGGTTAGAGTTTAGATGGCTGGGATGTTTTAGCTCAGAAAGTGTCAGGACTGGAGGACAGCTAGCCTTCTCAGAATGGTTGATTTACTAAACTCATCTTCCTTGGTAAAACAGAACAGCTGGGTAATGTCCATCTGGCCATCACTTGCCTAAAGATTCCAAAGGAAATACACTTGTTAGGAGTAAGACTGTTCCACCCTGACAGAATAGCCTTTCGGGAGAAGAGCCTGTCAGGGGTCCATAGATGAACCCCACTTTGTAGAAGATCATAGAAGATCTCAGAGAACAGAAGGACTTGGTATCCACATCCTGGGCTGTCAAGCTGTGAGGATTCTTTTACACACATTTTCATCCCCTGAGGCCCTGAACCCCAACTATTACCCCAACTATCTTGAACAAGAGCTTGAATAGGCCACAGGAGGAAGAGACAGGGCCCATGCATTCTCATGGGAGGACCAGTCCTCAAAGCAGTCTACCCTACCAGGTGAGGGGTGTGTTTCTGCACTCACAAGGACAGGTCTGCTCTCAGAGTGCATGATATAGGGGCTCGATGTGGTGTTCTGCCAACGAGTTCTTCTGGACAGGTGGACTGGGAAGACTTGAAACAGTTAAACAGTCTCAGGAGGCCAGAAGTCACGTCACTTCTATGGAGAAGCTCTGCAGGCAGAGGGTTGCTAGTCAAACCCTGCCACGTCACACCTACATGTCCCTTCTATGTGGAATTATGCAAATGGGGAGCCTTTTCTGGATGAGGAAAGGCTCTACGTTGCCTTGCTGGTGATCATGAAAGTAGGAGCAGGCCATGTCTCGATTTCCCTTTGGTGTCCTAACCTGTCTCTCGAGAGCACACAGCTTTGGAAAAATGCATCTGAACTTGCGAGCTGCCTTCATGTTGCCCAACTCTGACTTACTGTTTTGCTTTTATTTATTAGAGAGGGAGCCAGGCTGGTCTTGAACTCCTGGTAATCCTCCTGCCTCAGCCTCCCAAGTGTTAGGATTACAGGCGTGAGCCACCACACCCAGCTTTTATCATTTTTTTTGTTTTGAGACATAAGTTTCAGGTAATCCAGGCTAGCATTGAATTGGCTATGTAACTGGGGCTAGCCTTGAACCTCTAATCTTCCTGCTCCTTCCTCCCAAGTGTCCCAGTTATATCCATCTATTTGCTGTTTTTAGTGAATATTTGGTCAGAGATTTAGGGAATTAAACATCCCAGGCTAAAGAGATGGCTCCACTGTTAAGAGCACTTAGCTTCCCTTCCAGAGGACCTGGATTTCGTTCCCAGCACCCACATGGCAGCTAACAACTGTCAGTAACTCCAGTTCCAGGGGACCCAGTGCCTTCTTCTGACCTCCATGGGCATTGCACAACATGGGTGTGCTTACATACGGGCAGGCAATACATGCATAGACATTAAATAAACATCCCACTGCTGGAGGCCAGCAGAAAACTTGGTGTCTAATAGGGAGGTCAACATTGCAGATTCAAAGGTTCTCCACGAACACTCACCCCAGTGCTGCCCATGATCAGAAAGAGCGCTATGTGGAAGCGTCCGAACCCAATGGTCTCCACAGCATCCTCCACAGTGAATGTCTTTGTTGCTGACAAGGAAAATACAGTGTAAAGACCACTCAGGTGGGAAGGGAACCCGGAGAATTGTGGCTCACCTTTGCAGGGTCATCATTATTATTATTTATTTATTTGATTTTTTTGAGATAGGGTTTCTTATGGCCCAGACTGGCCTTGACCAGCTGAGGATAACCTTAAACTCTCAATCCTTCCTGTCTCTATTTCCCAATGCTGGGATTAAAGCCGTGCACCATCACACCTAGTTGATACAGTGCCTGGAATTAGAGCCAGGCTTCCTGCAGGCTAGGCATACACTCTATTAACCAGCCTACATCCGGCCCCCTAACTCATCATAACTAGTTATTACAGGAGGCTACTAAGTGACAGCTTGAAAGCTGGGCCTTTTCAGATGGTCTTACCTGTCTGCTGTGGCTCTGGAGACGCCTGGCTCAGCTTCCGAAGGCTGATGAACGTCACAGGCTCTGCCTGCTTGGCTGCCATCTAGATTGTTCCAGTTCCCTACACAGCTTCTCTGATGGAAGTCAGGGCAAGCAGCAGAGAAGAAATATGACTGTAGAGTGCTGGTCTAGCCTGCCTTCAACACTGTTGACAGAACATTCTGACCAATACCAACTTGGGGAGGAAAGGGTTCATTTCACTTACATCTCCCAGGTCATAGTTCATCACTGAGGGAGCCCAAGGTAGGAACTCAGGGCTGGAACCTGGAGGCAGACACTGAAGCACGGGCCATGGAGGAACACTGCTTACTGGCTTGCTTTTTTTTTTTTTTTTTTTTTTTTGGTTTTTTTGAGACAGGGTCTCCCTGTAGCCCTAGCTGTCCTGGAACTCACTATGTAGACCAGGCTGGCCTTGAACTCACAGAGGTCCACCTGCCTCTGCCTCCCAAGTGCTGGGATTAAAGGTGAGCACCACTACACCTGGCAACTTGCTTTCTTATACAATACAGGACCACCTGCCCAGGGGTGGCACCACCCACAGTGGGCTGGAACCTCCCACATCACTCAACAATCAAGAAAATGCTTCACAGATATGGCCACAGGCCAGTCCAATGGAGAAAATTCCCCAATTGTAGCTCCCTCTACTCAGGTGTATCAAGTTGACAACTAAAGCTATCCAGCACAAGTATATATCATAAGCTAAGTTCATGCCATACAAAATTGCCTTGAGCCCTCAAAAGTCCTAGGAGGTAGGCTGGGGAGATGGCTCAGTCTGCAAAATACTTGAATGCATAAAGACTTAAGTTCTATTCACAGAACCAGGCCACAGAGCTGGTGTGGAGACAAGAACCCTGGCGCCTGCTGGATGGCCAGCCTAGTCAAATCTGCAAGTTCTATGTCAGCGAGAAAGCCTCAGAAAAAAGGTGGGCTGCATTTCTAACGAACAACACTCGAGGCTGACCTCCAGTTCCCACGCACATGCACACACAGATACCCAAGGCTGACATCTGGCCTCCACATGTGCACACACTGGCACCCACATGTACACATGTACCTACACGTACACACACAAATACACATCCTAGGAGGTATTTTTCACCCTTATTCATCTGTTTCCTCTAGAATCAGATTACTCAGATTTAGACTCTTTCTTTGCCTGGCTTTGAGGGGTTTGCTTTTTGTACACTTCCATGTCCTCACCCCTAAAGTGGGGGTAATAGAATTGCATCTAATAGGCTGGTACGAGGGTTGGATGGAGTTCATAGAAAGTGCTTATTCTATACCTGGCATGCACTGAGTGCTGAGTAAGTGGAAGCCAGCCGCTCCCGGAATTCATCCCACTATTTACTTTTTACTGCTTCTTAAGGATGCATTTGGTGCCACCAAAAAGAATGACAGCAAAGAACGGAAACACAGCGGAGGTATCAAAATGCGTTGCTCATAGCAACACTGAAATGAAGACACGAAGACCCCACTGATCACCTTTGGACAATGCTAATAAACAAATTTACTCTCCTGAAAATTATTAAATATCACCTTTTTTTGTAGCCCCAGATGGCCTGGTACTCACTATGTAGACCAGGCTGGCCTGGGACTCACAGAGATCCGCCTGCCTCTGCCTCCCAGGTGCTGGGACAACAGGCGTGTGCCACCACACCCAGCTAAATATCATCTTTTTATTGGTCTTTTTGAGACAGGGTCTCCCTGTAGCCCCAGCTGTCCTGGAACTTACTATGTAGACCAGGCTGGCCTTGAACTCACAAAGATCCACCTGTTTCTGCCTCTCAAGTGCTGGGATTAATGGTGTGCACCACCACGCCCAGCAATATCATCTTTTTTACATGCATTATATATTACGGTAACCAAACAGTCAATGGAAAAAAAATGAGTTTCAGCTAATTCTTGTGCTAAATATGGAATTAAATTGCCACTATTTGGGGACTGGCAAGATGGTTGTTCTTACACAGGACCCAGATTTGATTCCCAGCACCCACATGGCAGCTAACATCATCTGTAACTCCAGTTCCAGGGGATCTGATGCCATCTTCTGACCTCTGTGGGCATTACATGACATGGGTGTACCCACCAACATGCAGGCAATATACTCATATGCAAAAGAAAAAATATTTTAAAATTGTAACTATTTTGCAACTGCTATAAAAAATAATGGATCTAGGCCATAGGGATCCCCAATGATTAATAGACCATTAAGTGAAATGCTGATGGGGAACTTTACCATAAGAAACGGAAAATATCAGAACCCACTGAAAAATCCTAATGTCTCTGAAATCTTGTGTGTGGCTCCTGGTGAGATGTGACAGGAAGTATATACCATCACTGGTGAAGCAGTCTCAAAGATTGAACTTGAATCTAAAGAAGCCTCTAGCTCTATCTACCAGCTTCCACAGAGGATGAACATGTTCTGCTATGCCATGTAGATACTGTTAAAAAATAGTGCTGCAGATGTAGCTCAGTTGTAAAGTACTTGCTTAGAATGCACCAGGTCCCTGAGTTCCATCCCCAGCACCACATAAACCAGATGTGGTACGTGAACTGTGTTAGCAACTTAACCTAAGCTATTCCGTCTTGCTCAGAATAGCTATTTTTAACAGTAACCTCTTTTCCATTTATGGGAAATACTTAAAAGGAGAAAACAGCCTTGAGTTCTAAAAAATAGTTCAACCACAAATCAGTGGAACGTGCTAATCTCAGACATTCTACATCTGGCTAACTGCTTGTTTTTGCATCTGTAACTCACTTGCTATTTCAGGTCACCTTGACATGTAGTATGAGACCACCCTGTTATTCAGTAACCATCTGGTAACTGCTGATTTTGGCTTCTGTTACAATGCTTGTTATGGCTAGATAGTTGGTTAATTTTAAAATTGCCAAGTTGTACACTTGCCTCGCTTGTCTACACAGTAACAAACTGTTGATTGGTGAATTCAAATTCTGCTATGTTGTACAAACCGGATTGGCTCACAGCTGTTCTGTTTAAACTATGCTTTCTGTAATCCTATAAAAACCCTAAATGGTTAACGTTCGGGGGCTGCTTCTACTCCTGAGATAGACAGCCCGCCAGTGGTAATAAAATATTACCTTGCTACTTTCTACTAAAATGGTGTTGGTGATTTTTTGTGAACTCCAACCTGCAACAGTACATAGCTATGATCCCAGGGAGGCAGAAGAATTAGAAGGTCAGTATCATCCTCAATTACATAGTGAGTCCTAAGCCAGCCTGAGCTACGTGAGACCCTGCCTAAAAGAGAGACAGAGAAACCTAGATGTGGAAGGCCTGTAGAATAAATGATCTGGCTTCTTCAATAAATAGTGCTCTAGCTTGTGTCTGTGTTACTGTGATGCAACACTAACCAAAAGCAACTTCGAGGAGGAGAGGGTGTATTTGAGCTTACAAGTTACAGTCCATTGTTAAGGGAACACAAGGCGAGAACTGAAGCAGAGACCATGCAAGGATGCTGCTTACTAGCTTGCTCAACTATCGTTTATAGCCCAGGCCCTGCCCAGAAATGGCACAGCCCACAGTGGGCTGGTCCCTCCTACAGCAATTGGCAATCAAGAAAATGCCCCCACAGACATGCCCACAGGCCAATCTGATGAAGACAAGTCTTCAGCTGAGATTCCCACTTCCCAGGTGTTCTAGTTTGCCTTAACTGCTGTGACAAAGCACTCTGACCAATACCAACTTGGGGAGGAAAGGGTTAATTTGGCTCACATCTCCCAGGTCACAGTTCATCATTGAGGGAGCCCAAGGTAGGAACTCAGGGCTAGAACCTGGAAGCAGAAGCTGGAGCACAGACCATGGAGGAATGCTGCTTACTGGCTTGCTCCCTTGGCCCATGCTCAACTTGCTTTCTTATACAATACAGGACAAATTTCCCAGGGTGGCACCACCTACAGTGGGCTGGGCCCTCCCACATCACTCAACAATCAAGAAAATGCCCCACAGACATGGCCACAGGCCAGTCCAATGGAGGAAATTCCCCAGTTGAGGCTCCCTCTACCCAGGTGTGTCAAGTTGACAACTAAAGCTAGCCAACACAATTGACCCTTTGTCAACTTGACACACAAACATATCACTATTAAACCACAAGCTTTCCATTTCTTATCCCCAAGGTATGATGTTAATGTCACAACATAAAACAGTACAACTTTAAAAGTCCCACTGTCCTTAAAAAACTTAAATACTTAAAAGTTCAAAGTCTCTTAAAAGTCAACTGGGGGCTCCTGCAAAATTAAAAACAAGTACTGTTTTATTTCAAAGAAAAGAATTGGGCACATTTAATAAAAACCTTAGTCCAGCAAAGTAGCTCAAGGCTGGACATCTGGAGTTCACTCACAATCTTCTGAGCTCCAAAGCATTTCAGCAGCTCCACTTTTCTGGCTCTGCCGTCCACAGAGCACACACACCTCATCTCGCAAGCCCAGGCCGGCTCCATTCCACACCTGCCCCTGCCCTTGGTGGTTGTCCCACAGTCCTGGTATCTCCAAAAAGCTGGGGTCTCCACTGAAACTGAGGCTGTATCTTTACCAATGGCCTCTTCTGGCCTCTTGGGGTACAAAACCTCAGATTCCATGACCTCTTCAATCCTGGGGGGGTCTTTGCTACAACTGAGGTTGCACTTACACCAATGGCCTTTCCTGGCTTCTCAGGGTGCCAAGCTTCAGCTGCTCTCTGTGACCCCGTCACACTTTCAACACCAGAACCATGCAGGATACTCTTACACATTACCAAGTCCTGCTTCCAGCTTGAGATGGAGGCTCAGGGGCCCCTCTGGACCACAGCTTCTGTGTGCTGACCCTGAGGAAATACCTCCCAGAAGACTTTGCCACCACAATGCAAATTTGGTGATTTTTCAGCCCTAGCTCACCAGCATCAGTTGTCCCAGTAAAGCAAACGTTTCACTTCAGTGGTTCTGGTCTTTTAATCACAGCTAATTCTTCAGCCCCAGCTGACCAGAAACCACAGGTTCTCAACTCAAAATATCACACAAACAGCCCTGATTGTCTTCCCTTTGAAGCTTC